CTTCAAAATAGACTCGCTCAGGCCGAAAACCGACTTCTGCACATGGGCCACGAAGTTTCAGTCACACTGTACGTGCGCGCCCGCACATGGTATTTTGTGGAAGAGCCACACTCAATGGGCCAAAGAGCCGCATGTGGCTTGCGAGCCGCAGTTTGTGGACCACTGCCCTAGGAGATGTACTGGTGAAAATTCTGCTACATGAAATGTCTGAGATTTTACTGCTTATGTTTTCTTCGAGGATTTTTATGGTTTTGTGACTTATATTTAATTACTTTGTCCATGTTGAATTTATTTTTGTGTATGATATAAGTTGGCGGTGCAGTTTAATTTTTTTGTATGTACCTGTCCAATTTTCACAGCACCATTTATTGAAGAGACTGTCTTTACTCCAATGCATGCTCTTGCCTCCTTTGTCAAATATTAATTGATCATAATGGTGTGGGTCAATTTCTGGGGTTTCTGTTCTGTTCCATTGATCTATATGCCAGTTCTTGTGCCAATTCCAGGCTGCTTTGATTACAATGGCTTTGTAGTATAGTTTGATATCCAGTATTGTGATCCCTCCAATTTTGCTGTTCTTTCTCAAGATTGCTGAGGCTACTCTGGGTATTTTTTGGTTCCATATAAATTTTTGGAATATTTGCACTAGATTTGTGAAATATACTGATGGTATTTTAATAGGGATTGCATAGAATCTATAGATTACTTTGGGTAGTATGGACATTTTATTGATGTTAATTCTTCCAGTCCATGAATATGGTATATGCTTCCACTTTTTTGTATTTTTCTCTATTTCTTCCTTTCTTTTTTAATGTCCTATAATTTTCTGAGTACAGGCCTTCTACCTCTTTGGTTAAATTTATTCCTAGGTATGTTATTTTTTGTTGCAATGCTAAATGAGATTTTTTTTTTTTTTAGTTTCTGTTTCTAAGAGTTCATTATAGGTGTACAAAAATGCCATCAATTTCTGAATACTATTTTATATCCTGTTTCTTTGCCAAATTCATTTATTAAATCTAGTTGTTTTCTGGTGGCATCTTTAGGGTTTTCTATGTACAATATCATATCATCTGTGAATAATGACAGTTTTATTCCTCCTTTCTCATTTGGATGCCTTTTATTTTTTCTTCTTGTCTGATCACTGTGGCTAGGACTTCCAGTACTATGTTGAATTAAAGTGGTGAAAGTGGACATCCTGTCTGTATTTCTGTGGTGTAACTTCTTTCATTTCTGATTTTATTTATTTGGGTCCTCTCCCATTATTTCTTGATGAGTCTCTCTAAAAGTTCATCAATTTTGTTTATCTTTTTAAGGAGCCTGCTCTTGGTTTCATTGATCTTTTGTATTGTTTTTTGTTTCTATGTCATATATTTCTGCTCCTTATTATTTCCTTCCTTCTACTTACTCTGGGCTTTTCTTGTTCTCTTTCTGATTCTTTGAGTTGTAGGTTTAGATATTTTTTTTTTTTGAGATTTTTCTTATTTTTTGAGGTAGGCCTGTAGTACTATGAACTTTCCACTCAGGACTGCTTTTACTGTGTCCCATATATTTGGGGTTGTTGTGTGTTCACTTTCACTTGTTTCCAAGAAGTATTTTATTTCTCCCTTGATCTCATGGTAACACATTCATTTTTTAATAATATGCTATTTAACCTCCATGTCTTTGAATTTTTTTGAATTTTATTATTATACTTGATTTCTAGTTTCATACTGTTGTGATCTGAGAAGATGCTTGATATGATTTCAATCCCCTTGAACTTGCAGAGAGTTTGTTTCCTTATATGTGGTCTATCTTTGAGAATATTCCACGTGCACTTGAGAAGAGTGTATATCTGCAACTTTGGGGTGAAATTTTTCTAGATGTCAATTAAATCCATCTGCTCCTATGTGTTGTTTAAGATCACTGTTTACATGTTGATTTTTTTGATCCAGGGTTATCAGTGAGGTGTCAAAGTGCCCTATCTGACTGTATTACTGTCTATGTCTCCCTTAAAGTTCTCCAAGAGTTTTCTTATATATTTAGGTGCTCTTGTATTGGGCACATATATGCTTATCAAGATTATATCCTCTTGTTGGATTGATCCCTTTAGTATTATGTAGTGACATTCTTTATCTCTCCCATGGCCTCTGTTTTGAAGTCTTTTTTGTCAGATACAAGTATTGCTACTCCCACTTTTTTTTATTTGTTTCCATTTGCGTGGAAAAATTTTTCCATCCCTTCAGTTTCATCCTGTGTGATTCTTTTGTTCTGAGGGGGGTCTCTTGTACACAGCATATACATGGGTCATGTTTTTTTATTCATTCAGCTATCCTATGTCTTTTGATTGGAGCACTTAATCCTTTACATTTAAGGTTATTATTGACTAGAAGCCCATTGCAGGAAGATTCCTGCAAGAATAGGGCTTCGCTCCCGTCTCTGCCACTGCTTCCCCTCCTGTCTCTGCCACTGCTACCCCACCCTTCTCTGCCACTGCTACCCCGCCCTTCTCTGCCACTGCTTCCCCGCCCTTCTCTGCCGCTGCTTCCCCGCCCTTCTCTGCCACTGCTACCCCGCCCTTCTCTGCCACTGCTTCCCCGCCCATCTCTGCCGCTTCTCTCCCACCCGTCTCCGCTACCTCGGCTCTGTTGCTTGGCTTCCTTCTATGGTGTCTTCAGTCTTCGCTCCCAGCCGGTCTATGCAAATTAACTTCCATCTTTGTTGGCGGTTAATTTGCATATTGTGCTGATTAGCCTATGGGAGGCGTAGCAAAGGTATGGTCAACTACCATGTTTGTCTATTATTAGATAGGATAGTTACTTTTATATTGTCATTTTCATTCTTTATGCTAGGGATGGGTAATATCCAGCCCACAGGCTATATAAGGCCCATGAAATCATTTTGTCTGGTCCTGTCAAGGCATTAGGGGTGAGTTAATTAAATGTTTGACCAAATATAGCAGGCTCAATTTTAAGTTGCTAATTTTGTATGGCCCACGAATAATGTTGTAAATATCCAAATGCTACAGTCCCCATAGCATTTCTTGGAATGTTGGTTTGGTGATAATAAAGTCCTTTAGCCTTTTTTTTTTTTTTTTTTTTGTCTGGGAAACTCTTTATTTCACCTTTAATTTTGAATGATAGCCTTGTTGGATAGAGTAGTCTTGGTTTCAAATTCACGCTGTTCCTTACTTTGAAGAGTTCATGCCATTTCCTTGTGGCCTGTAGTGTTCCTGTTGAGAAAACAGCTGACAGCCTTAAGAAGGCTCCCTCATGGGCTACTGACTTTCTCTTATTGACCTTAATATTCTTTTTTTGTCTTTAACATTTGCAACTTTATTGATATGTCTTAGTGTGTGTTTCTTTGTGTTCATCTTGACTGGGACTCTTTCTGCTTCCTCAACTTATGCGACTTTTTCCTTTATCAGGTTAGGGAAGTTTTCTGTCATTATTTCTTCAAACAGGTCCTATATCCCTTGCTCACTTTCTTCCTCTGGTAACCCTGATGATGCAGATGTTGTCTGTTTGTTGTCCCAAAGGTCCCTTAAACTCTCCTCACACTTTTTGAGTGTTTTCCTTTTTGCTGCTCTAATTGAGTGTTTTTTAACCTTTTCTTTCATATTGCTAATTTGATCTTCTGCTTCATCCAGCCTATTTTAATTCCTTCTGGTATATTCTTGATGTCAAATATGGTATTCTTCATTTCTGACTGGCTCCTGTTCATGGTTTCTTTGACCTTTTCATGCTGATGTAGTTCCCATCAAGTTCCTTATAGTTCCCACTAAGTTCTTTGTAGTTCTCCCTAAGTTCCTTTAGCATCCTTATAACCATTACTCTCAACTTTGTCAGTTTGTCTCCCCATCAGGGTGCATACCCAGGTTGCAGGCTTGATCCCCAGGAGGGAGTGTGCAGGAGGCAATTGATCAGTGATTCTCTCTCATCATTGATGTTTCTATTCTCTTCCTTTCCCTTCCTCTCTGAAATCAATAACAATATATATATTTTTAAATACACTATAACACTTTATAGGTAGGGTATTATATAATAATCCTAATTCCTTTTTCCCATCCCTGAGTCATGCTATCATTCATTTCATGTATATAAATATCATAAGCATATATGTGTAATATCCAAATGCTTATATATGTGTATATAAGTATACACATATATAAGCATATATTTAATCACACATCGTCTAATACATTGTTTCTACTGTTATTTTGACAAACTATAATTAGATCAATTAAGAATAAGAAAAATAAAGATTTTAATTTTACCATCACATTAATTTTCTAATACTCTTCTTTCTCTGTTTAGATCCTTCAATACTGGAGGGAACCCTTATGACTGAGTCCCTCTATAGCAGTGGTTCTCAACCTTGGCTGCACATTAGAATCACCTGGGAATCTTCTTAAAATCCTGATTTCTGGGCCTCCTCCTCCAGAAATTCTGTTTCTTTGTTACTAATGTTATGGCCCCACCCCATAACAAAGAAACAGAATTTCCGAAGGAGGAGGCCCAGAAATCAGGATTTTAAGAAGATTCCCAGGTGATTCTAATGTGCAGCCAAGGTTGAGAACCACTGCTCTACAGCTTTTAACTAAGAGTTATCTACACAGAGCCTCCAGCACTGGGTCCGTTGCAGCTCAGGTTTTCCTACCTGGGTGCTGGTTCCACGGACATTTAAGCTGGTTAGTCTCTGTGCTGAGAAGCTGTGATTCCCTGTACTCACCTGTCTGTCACTCCAATCTGGGGCGTAGCAGTGTTCCCTGTGTCCTCCCCTCTCTTATGAATCTCAGAAAAGTTAATATTTTTCAGTCTGTTTAGCTTTTTACTTGTTGTTAGGACATAACGGCAACTTCCGATCTCCTTATACACAAAACTAGAAACCAGAAGTAGCCTAACCTACTTCTAAAGTAATTTTTTTTTTTGCATGTATACTTTCAGATAGTAGAGAAGTAAGTTTTATAAAAGGACACAAAAGTGATATGGGCTTTAGTGTCAATAACCACTAGAAGCTATGAGTATTGCAATGTAATTTTAATAGCATAACTTTTAATCACACACTGTAGAACTATGAATGTTTCACTAGCATAATTTGCTATAATTTCTATTATGTGCCACAGACTTGAATATTATAAACATGTTCATACTCAAAATAAAATATTAAATTAGATACTCAAGAATTTTCTTACTACATGTAACTTTTTATATGTGCCTTCATTATTTGTATAAATTGTTGCAACTTTCCAAAATTTCAGGCACATCCACATTCAAACATGAGATACAAAATGTATTCTAAATTCAAGTGAGTAAAACTTTTCAGCATACCTGAGCATTGTTCACACTATATATCCCAAAATAAAGAAATATATACATTTATGCAATATATTTTCATATGTAGGAATATTACAAATTGGTTTTAAGTTCTTAATATAGAGTTATAATTTAAAAGAAATTATTTGTATTAAAATTCTTTCAGAGTTAAGTATAAGTTTCTGTTAGATTGATAGATGAAATCAGAGACAAAGGTACATTGATAAACAAGATTCCCTCAGACCTTCCCTTAAGGAATTTAAAAATTAATGGATAACTCAGAAAAGTGAAAATACAGTGAAAGCCTTAAAGTGGATAACAGGGTTCTATGAGAACTCATAGGAGATACTCAAATGCCTAATTAATAAATACTCACATCAACTTTCATCTGCATATTCAGTACATTTCTCACTTCTGAACATACTACTACTTGATAAAAAATTACTTCAAGTATACTTAAGACTTACGTATTATTTTTCATAAGTGCATGGTTTAAATTATTATTTTTGAGGGTAAGCAGAGATGCAGAAAAGAATGCAAAAGGGAAATTAAAATAATGCATTTAGCTACCTGTCTCTCTTTTGTTTGGTACAATTAAAATATTTTAACAGTCATTGAGTTACTATTCTTTGCCAGACAATGTGATGAAAACATTCCTTCCCTCATTTAATCCTCTCAACCCTATTAAAGTACTTTCCACAAATTCTATTTTATGCTTCCCATCACCTTTTATCCCCTCTATCCCTCTATCACACGCTCCCATCCCCCTCCACTCCCGCCATTGCTCAGCTTTTAGATGTGGAAACTAGGGCTTACAGTGGTCAAAGAACTTGCCCAAAGTCAAAGCCAGAAGCTAAGCTTTTAACAGCTGCAAATAGGCCTGACAATGTGAGGGGAAACCAGAAAGCACAGAACAGTGAGTTGGGGACATTGGTGGAGAGTAAGGGGAGGCACGCAAGTTCAGTTTTACACTTTTAAGCTATTTGTTCCCACAGATTGTTGAAGAGCCTGGTTCTGTAAAACATTCTGCACACATAAGACTCTGCAAATCCTTCTAGCACCAGAAAATTCATATAAAATGAAGAGCCCCTACTATGAATATTCAAGAGTGTCCCAACATAGTGAAGGCAAATTGCATAATTATGTATCTAATTATTTACATCAAGCTATGCGTTTTATATAATAACCACGTAAGACACTAACTAGTGCATTTGTAAGTTGAACTCTAATTTTAAACGGGGCTTGTACGTGATTATTTTTATGATGGTATCAAATTCCCCAAAATATTCTTTTGCTTTGATATCTACATCTCAAATTTATGGCTTCCTATTATAAAATTTTACCTAGGTATTGCTGATGTACCTTGAATTTACTATATTAAACAATCTTAATGTTAGTACTTTAGTACTTATAAAAAAAGCTAAGCCTTAAAGTGAGACAAATATCTGTTAAACAGAATTGCTTTCTCTGCTGAAATCAATTAATTACATAAAATACACTTATCAAAGTAGGATGAAGAACATAATTCCATGTTTGAAGGAGACCCTAAAACTACAATTCAGATTTTTAAAAAGTATAACCTAAAAATTATTCAAGAACTCCAGGTGTATTTTCTAGAAATTAATTTTAATTATTTAATTCCTGTAGTGATATTTAATATAATATGATTAATTAAATAAGAAAAATCTCACTCTTGAATTTAGTGGGGAAACGTGTTCTCATTTGGTTTACAGGCTTTATTGAAGGGTGTTTTAAGGAAGGTGCAGTACACAAAACTAACTACAATTAACTACTATTTTCTAGAGATGGAGTCAACTTATAAGGACATAAACTTACTTAAATTTAGCACCATTTATACACATTTAAAAAACCTGATGGTACCATTTAAAAAAAAAATAGCTTATTTTCTATGATCTAGTTTCATTTCTTTACATAGTGCAAAAACATATACCCCAGAAAAGAATAAGATCACAAATGTGTCCACATGCATAATAAAGCGGCTTCACTATAGTACAGCTTCTTTTTAAAATGAAGACAGTTCAAAGGAGGAGAAAACCCTGAGTTTGGTTAAGTAGCGGAAGTAACCGTAAGAGAGGGTCACCAGCACATTCTTGCAGAGGCCCAACACGGGCGTGATCGTGCCCAGGTCAATGATTAAGCCAAGTCTGACAAAAATGAAGGGTAAGTCCTGGAGCAGGACGCCCAGGGAATTCAGCAGGGCGTTCTGGGGCGTGAATATAATGCGAAGGAGCGAGATGAAACTGAACAGGTAGACTGGGTAGAGCCAGGCGGACTTGTACACAGCTTGGTGGCCGGCCACACGCACCATCTCGATGGTGTCAGACCAGAGCACAAAGCTCCACAGGAAAATCTCCGCGCGAGCGTCCCGCTGGGACAGGGCTCTCAGGACCGGGGACTGGAAGGCGGGCTCCTGGGCTCCGGCCTCTGCAGGGGCCGGGCTCCGCGCTGCGGCTGCCGGGGCCGGGGCCGTGGTCCTCGGCGCTGGCTGGGGAGGCGCAGGGCTTCCTTCGTTTGGCTTCTCTTGATCCGTCACGGTTCTTATGCGTTGCAACGTGGTGGCACGGATGTGCGTATCTTCATTACCTGCAACATGTTTATGTTACTTATTTTAAATGTTAACGTTTATGTAACTGGAAACATTTTTATTTTTAAAATTGGAAAATAAAATTATAAGTATTCTCTTACTTGACTGAGGTCTGTTTTACACATCGAATTTCAAGATAGCAATGGGTCGCATATGGAAAAAACATAGGCAAAATTCATGTCCTTGGATCCTGGCTGTGGATCCTAAGTCATGTTTGCCATTTCACAGTAAGAGCCATTATCGGTTACTAAGCTAAGCATTTTCACATATTCTGTCATTAAATCCTCGGGGAAGTTGAGAGATAGAGATCACTATCCCATTTTCCCATATTATAAACATGGAAAGGGGGGGGGAGGGGAGGGGGGGCGGGTAGAATAACACCTAAATTCAATTACACAGTAATGAGTGAGCAGAACTGGAATCCACACCCAGACTTGTCGGACCCCAACTGACAAACTCTTAACTTTATGGCGGCTATTACCTACCTAGAGGCAGCATATCATGTGCTAACTATAAACACACAGATATCCTAAAAGCAGAGGAATCTAGCTAAATGGTGGAATCAAAGTACAATGGTCCAATCTTGTCATTTAATAAGAGGCCCACAGAATTCTCTACGACCCAGATCTTCAGGCTCTGAGTTTGGTGCTATTTCACCATGAGCAAGTCTTAGTGATGGGTGACATTCTGAATCCAAGATTTTTAAACCTATATTTTCTGGGCTGTTCTTTACATCCCCGTGAATATTTTGAAACTAATACAAAATAATATTGAATGCAAACTGTAATTACAAAATAAACTTTTATAAAAAGATTTTAAACCTGTTTTTCCCCAAAGTTTTTGAACATTGGTTAGACTAAAAGCATCTTATTTGTGGCCACAGACTATGCCTGGTCAACATACCAGTCATTTAAATGAGTAGGGCATTTTCTCATCAACATTACATTGTGTGTGTGTGTGTGTGTGTGTGTGTGTGTGTGTGTACGCACGCGCACGTGCACACCTCTCTGTGTTCACGTGGGTGTTGAGGTTGGGGGATTATGAAGAGATCCTCAAATCTCAAGACTTATTAACAATGTTGATGGTATGGTTTTTATACATGAAAAAGGTCTAGCACGTTATGTTTTAAACATTTATCCACTTAAGCATCATTTTTATTGCTGAGAATTTATCAGGCCTTAACAAAGTTTACTCTGAATATTCTGAGCTTCCATATTACTTGATACAATTTTTTTTAAAATATATTTTATTGATTTTTTACAGAGAGGAAGGGAGAGAGATAGAGAGCTAGAAACATCGATGAGAGAGAAACATCGATCAGCTGTCTCCTGCACATCCCCCACTGGGGATGTGCCCGCAACCCAGGTATATGCCCTTGACCAGAATTGAACCTGGGACCCTTCAGTCCGCAGGCCGACGCTCTATCCACTGAGCCAAACCGGTTTCGGAGATAAAATAAAATTTAAAGGGAGTCATTAGATTGAATATCTATAAAAGTTAAAGAAACAAAATCAATAAAAATTTGTTGAAATATATTGAGCTAAAGTAAAACATTTTATTGTGATTAAAGATTAATAAAATGTTTGATTACTGTATTTAGGTACTGTTTAAATGACAAATAAATCTGTTTTCTTTTTATACTATTAACTATTTAAATTTTTTTAACTGTGAGTTGAGTATATTTATGAACCAAAAAGATAATCTAAATTATTGATGAAATATTACTTACTTCTGGTATGAATCATTCATAAATAAATGCAGGATCCATGACCCTTAGAAACTTCTTTACCAACCTTCAATGTCACCATAGCATGAGTATCATTTTAATAAATAATACTTAAGTAAGAGAGAAAATTATATACTAATTTGAGGCCCGGTGCACAAAATTCATACACTTAAGGGGGTGGTCCTTCAGCCCAGCCTGCGCCCTTTTGCAGTCTGGGACCCTTCAGGGGATGTCCACCTGCTGGTTTAGGCCCATTCCCTGGGCCTAATCCGGCAGTCAGACATCTTTCTCGCAGTCCTGGACCCTCATAGTCTGAGACCCCTCGCTCCTTACTGCCCACTGCAGTGGAGGCGGGAGAGGCTTCTGCCACCGCTGCTGCACTCACCAGCCGTGAGCGGCGCTCCCCCTGTGGGAGCGCACTGACCACTAGGGGGCAGCTCCTGCATTGAGCATCTGCCCCCTGGTGGTCAGTGCACATCATAGCAACCAGTCGTTCCGCCATTTGGTCGATTTGCATATTAGGGTTTTATTATACTAGTATAGGATTATTATTATTTTAATGTTCATAAAATCATCCCTTTTTAAAATCAGATGCTCACTGGCATACAGCTCTCATTTTACAAAAAAGATATCAATATAAAAAAATGTTTCTTAGGGTATGTCATGTCCTAGAGAACTCTCCTTCACCTCTCTTAGAAGATAAAGCTGTTTGAGGAAAAGCCAAATTCCTTTTTCAACATGTAGAAGACTGTGTATAATTTGGGCTTTGGAAGATGATTGCCAATTCAGCATTGTTTCAACACCAGGAAGTGGCAATCTAAGAAGTGACACATTAACACTTTTAAACAGTCAGTAAGAATCTGAATATCTGTAGATGTGAGCTGTTGGATGCACAATGAATTCTTAGCCAGAGTTAATTCTTAATGAAATGCTAAAGCCACAATCCATGTATGTTTGGTGAAATCTGAGCCTGGAGCTTCCTATCTCTCCACAGCTCAATAGAGGCCAGTTTAGGTTTGGGGATACAAGGACTCTGCTGTCCTCTTTCCAAGAGAGAAGCACTAGAGTTATTAGCTGGCAAGCTTGACTGGCCTCACAGAGGCTATGATAAAGTTGAACAAATCAAGAAATCACTTGGTCATTAGACTGGACCAGCATATTTATCCCCAGGCAATGTAAACTTTCATGTATTTAATACTATTGTCCTTGGCTCCATGATTAGTTTCCCTCTGAATTACTTTTTTTTTTAAATTTCCACTTACAGCTGGAATTCATTGTATGATTATTGTTAGCTGTTAGTGTTCTTTTTGGGTAAAGCAATGTTGTTTTGTGCAAAACCCATAGAAGATATCAGCATGAAGAAAGAGATCCACTCGCTCCCTTAGAGGTTCACATGGCCCAATAAAAACTAAAAACAGCCGAAACCAGTTTGGCTCAGTGGATAGAGCGTCGGCCTGCGGACTGAGGGGTCCCGGGTTCGATTCCGGTCAAGGGCATGTACTTGGGTTGCGAGCACATCCCCAGTAGGAGATGTGCAAGAGGCAGCTGATCAATGTTTCTCTCTCATCGATGTTTCTAACTCTCTGTCTCTCTCCCTTCCTCTCTGTAAAAAATCAATAAAATATATTTTAAAAAAAAAAACCCAAAAACTAAAAACAGCAGCCATTCTGTGTAGTTCCTCACATAGGATTCCAGTTGACAAAACAACTTTGTGCCTTCACTCTGCAAGCTACATAATTAAGGAAATGTAATTTTGAGATAACAGATACATGTTTAAGTAGGAAACTCATATCTATTTTACTCTATTATTTCTTTAAATGAGTTATTTCTCTCTAACTTGTTTCCCAGAAGCTTTAGGTGGCTTACAGGGGAAACACAAGCACAACATAACAAGTAGTGAGGAATTTTCTAGAGTGAGTATGTATTCTTCTTGTAAAAATAAAAAAAGGAGCCCTAGCTAGTTTTCTCAGTGGTTAGAGAGTCAGCCTGCAGACTGAAGGGTCTCAGGTTCAATTCCAGTCAAGGGCATTTGCTTCGGTTGCAGGCTTGATCCCTGGCCCCAGTCAGGGCATGTGCAGGAGTGCAGGAGGCAACCAATCAATGTGTCTCTCTCACATAGCTGTTTCTCTCTCAGTCTCTCCCCCTCCCTTCCACTCTCTCTAAAAATCAATGGAAAAAAATATCCTCAGGTGAGGATTAACACACACACACACACACACACACACACACGAATAAAAGAGAAGAATCACAAGGAAAAGTACCTAAAATCAAGACAGAAATGAAGCTGATACTAAGAAGGCGGTGTTTAGGCTCGCATCTGATATGAGCAGACAGATTTCAGAGTGCTGTACCAAGCTTAGGCTGGGCATTGATAATGATGTAGCAAGCAATGTGGAAACAGTCCCTGCCTCCACCACTCTGTCTCCTGTGATCACGTCGATGAGCTCAGAATAAATTGTGGCAGGACTTTAAAAGGGAGGTCGGTTCTGTGATGAGACACTATCACAGGGGGTCTGAATTAGACAGGGTGTCAGAAGGCTCACCTGAGAAGTTACAGTCAAGCAGAGACATGAAGAATAAGTAGGAATGAATTGGGTGAAGAATTGAGAAAGGAACTTTTCAGACAGTAGGAAGAGCTTATGTAAATATCTTTCACATAGAATGATTGAATGAGAGTTTGGAGAGGGGCTGGAGCAGCACAGAGGAGCTAATATTTAAGTTTTCTATATACCAACACTGTTCTAAGCCCTTTCTATGCATTAATTCTCTTAATCTTTATGAAAACTCTATGATGTAGATACTATATTTTCCCATCTTAAAGATCAGTAACTGAAGCATGGAGAGATTAACAATTGTTTTCAAGGTCACACAACTGGCAAGTAGAGAGACCGGACTGTGAACCTCAAACATTTAACTACTCGACCACACTGGCTGTGGCTGAGTCAGATTTTGTAGACCCTTAAGGCCATGATAAAGTTTTTGTATTTTATTCTAAGCTCCATGGAGAGCCACTGAAGATGAGGAGAACAGAAGTAAGGGGAGCCAGGGAAGTCATGGTGACATCAGCAAAGAGGCTCTTGAGGCTGCCGAGGGAGTTGATAAGAAATTGTTACTCAGTTCATAGCAACTAGAAGATCAAATTATAGAATTACTCAGAAAAATTCTGGCTATTTTTTATTAAAAGTGCCCCATATCCATTTTTTTTTCTGAGAGGAAAATGTTCCAGAGAAAGTTAAATGCTAATGATTTAGACATAAGTGGAAAATTCTACAA